ATACACACATACACACATATACACACATACACACATATACACACATACACACATATACACACATACACATATACACACACATGTATACACACATACACATAGATACACACATATATATACACACGTATATATACACACACACGCACACACATACACACATACGCATACACATACACACACACATGCACAAACACACACATATACATAAAGAGCGAGTTCATCCAGGAGTTGCGGGATCTGTTAGACACACAAAAAAAAAAACCTCTGAGTTATTAGTAGTAGTAGCAGCAAGCCAGCCAGATGAGCGTGTATGAAGTGGGATATGTCTTGCATCGTTTTCTCCATTCAACATCCCGGAAAAAGCCACCAACTGGTAAATCCTGAAAAAAAAACAGCTGAACGATGAGAAACGTCGAACAGTGAACGCCGGGCCGACAAGCATGCATCAACATCACTGTTATCATTCATCAATCGATCAAAATATCAGTAAGCCGACGCAGCAGCAGTAGCAGCAGCAAGCGATGATGCAGTGCTCCCTCCACCCTCCTGTACCTCCCTCCCTCCCTTCCTTTCCCTCTTTCTCTTCCTTCCTCTCAATTTTTCAGGCATCCCTTTTCAAACTTTAATACCAAAAATTTTTTTTTGCTTTTCCGGTATTTATGCATTTTCTTTTTTTTTGTGAAGAAATTTCACGCAGTTTGTTAGTCATTGGAAAGTCCACGGGAGGGGGAATGAACGCAAAACCAGTAGAGTACGTGTTCCTCTTCCACCTCCTCGTCTTGCCAGCCGTTATCGAGGCATTAGCGAGTGGTACGTGCAGAACTGTGGGCAATTTCTTCCACCAGACGGTCTTTCGCTCCTCCCCCTCAGCGGCACACGCGCCTGTGGTGCAAAAGCCCGGGGCTGTTCATAAAGTAACTCGTAGTAGCAGTGTTACAACTCTATTCCTAGTTTTTGCATAGTTCCTGAGTGGGCGAAGGCCCCACTCCTATTGCCCTCTTCCCGTCCTCCTCAGGAGTCCATTTTAGATTTGCCTATGGCTGAAATTCGCCTGGATGCGTCCAGACTGGCACAAAATGTTTTCCGGAATATCCAAGATGCCGGAAAGCAGCAATTTACGGCGAGTGATGACGGACGCTATTCGAGTGTCGATATCTTTGTGCGCGTGCTGCACCGATTAACGCTTTGCCGCATGGGCATAATTTCCCATTTTACCAAGTACTTATGAAAGAGGGTATTTCAGAGGAGCAAAACTATAATAATACCGGTGAGTGGGTGTGAAAATCATCAGCACAGCTCTTGTACCCACTATTTTGAGGACCAGCGGAGAGGCAACGAAGAGAAGAGATGGCAGCTCGGCAGTATGGGAGGCTACTGGAACTCTGCTCGGCTGGGCTCGGAATGGATCAGGGGAAGCCCGGAATCATCCTGAAATGAATGGAAACTGGTGCAGTCGCACTGTTTCTGTTTCTGATTTCTCCAAGCACTAATATCCTCATATTTAAATATGCCAATGTTCCGATTTTTTTTTTTTTTTTTGTTTCTTTGTTTTCAAATGACATTTTGGACTGAGAAAGCAGCAGTCATACGACTTTGCACGATAGTCTCTACATCTCGGTTTTCGTTCCTTTAAAATTCCGCTGAACAAAAAAAGCCCGAAACATGCGCACCATCATGATTTTCGCAGCTTTTTCCCCAAACTTACGAACTTACAAATGAGTACTGCACGGGCAAGTCCAGTCGTGCCGGGTATTGTTAGTTGCGGGGTAGTGGACAGGACAGCCCATTGAGAAGGGCCCAGCGAAACCAAAACGAGCGTCTGAGTGTTGCGGACAAATTTTGTGTGGTGTAGCACACAGTGACTGTCGTTAGACTACTAGTCTAGAGCGGGACGTGGAACTTGCAGCGCAGAAAATCCTGAACACATTACTAGAAACGAGTTAGCAATGAATTCACCGACATCTAAGCTATTTCAAAGTCACAGACATAGGCGGGTCCAGGGGACGGGGGTTTTTCGCCTCCCCACCAGCGGCACAGACACCAAGGGTCTAAAGTTAAAACTAAACTGGAGCCTCTAAACTAAGGCAACTCTAAATAACAGTGTTACAACTCTATTCCTAGTTCTTGCACAGTTCCAGAGTGGGAAGGAACTCCGCCTCCCCCCTCCCGCTCTCCTCCACCCAGGAGTCCGTCCTGGATCCGCCTATGCTCACGGACAAATATTTTGGAATTTCGTACTGGAAGTGACTCGATAACAAGCATCCTGAAGTTTGTTCCGGTCTACTGCTTCAATTATTAAGTAAAGTTTTAACATGCATCACGATCCGAGAAATGCTCGAAGTTCAGGAAGCTCAAAGATCGACATTCCATGAGAAAGGTGTGTCGATCTTTGAGCTTCCTGTGCGTCAGGCTGTCATTTAATTAACCCTTTTGAACTCACCATTAATTTGGCAAAAACACTAAAGGCTTTGAACAAACTACAACAAATTTGTGGCAGGATGGGAAAAAGGGCCAAAGGAGGGGCATATCAAGCAAAGTATTTAAATGTTTAATTGAGCGTGTTAACTACAACAGGCATATCACGCATCAGTCTCATGTTCTTGTTGACCAGTTTAACTAAGCATGTTAAGA